GTGGTCCTGAATCAGGGATATACCATTTTTCATTAATATGAACTTAGGGACTTCCCCAACCAATGCACTGACCTCTTACAGAACTACAACTTTCTCAATTGACTTGACAGCAAATTTAAGGTTGGAAATAGGGCAAAAGCTGCTAATCTTATTGGTCTCTTAAGACGGTTTTTTAAGACAAGGTAATGTGACAGCAGGCTTCAGGCAATCAGGTACTTTACCACACCTCAATGACGCACTAACCATTTTTGTAAACACCGAAAGGAATATTATAAGGGATTGGCATCAATCTTCTTGACCAGTAAAGACAACTCATCGCATAGTAACAGATGTGAAACATTCAAATTTGAAACTTTATTCTGGCAAGCTGGCATTAGGCAAGAGATCTATAACCCAAGTAGTTTTCTGAAGAAGATATTGTCTGTCAAAAGGTTTTTCATTAATGATCATGGCAATCATATTGCAGTTATTACTGTCAACCTGAATTTCTTTTCATACAAACTTGCTTTCTGTGAATCGACAGTTGGCATTACCGTTGAGAACTGTTTATTTCTTTAGCTCTGCTTCTCTATCCACTTATTCATTGCTAACTGAAACTGAATTTATTGCAATAGACCATGTAATTGTTGATGTGCCTGATGAATATTTATCAGAACAAGTGGTACTACAGATGCAAGTAACAGCTCAATAGTCTCCATACGACTTAAAAACAAATGAAGCAAATGCATTGGTTAATGTGAAAAAATAATGTTACATTCAAATTTGTACTGAGTTCTGCTGTTATTTATTCCTCTGAGAGGTTTTAACTCCTTTAATTTAGTGGCAGCTTTCACTGTTTAAAATTATTATACATTTTGTGACAGCTCCTATAGCAGCAGACTTAATCAGCCTTAGTTTGGTAGATGAAAAATAATTATTCTGAATCAGCTGCAACAAACTCCAGGATTTTGCTTCTCTTTACCTCATTTACGTAGCCTCTATGAAAACAACCCATGGGAAAATGTTTTTCTGGTGGTTTCGCTTAGCAGACAACTGAGTCTGTGAAAGTGAAGAATGTGGTAACCAAACGACCAAGGGTCTTGAAATACAACTTTCAGGCAACCCAACAAGTATGGCCGTGAAGATGTAGGCCTTATGTATGTATGACGTGGGAATCCACAATGTCATTGCCATAGACTCAACTCTATATATTTTATAGTCCTCAGGAACACTGTGCATCACCTCATCTTGGGATCACAATTGATCTTGTGAGAGCTGTTGACCCTGCATTTACAGAGATTCTTGACAGGATCCCACAGTTCCTCTGTGGCATGTTGGGACTGAAGCCACAGACATATTACCAGACCTAATCAGCCTTGGTATGATGGGAGAAAAGTTTGATCCGGCTGCAACAAAATCCGTGATTCTGCTCCTCTTTTACTCACTCATGTGGCCCCCTTGAAAACAGTTCATGGGCAGGTGTTTGTTGAATGGTTTGGCCTGGCAGACAACTGCATCTGTCGAAGGGCAAAATGAGGTAACCAGATAGTCAAGGATCCCATGGTAAAACTCAAGATCGGACCAACAAGTAGAAAAGGCTGCCACAGAGATGCTTGTGTTGTTCTAGATGCAACCGACACCAGCGTTAGCACCCATCATTTTATCCCTGGCTTGTAGGAAGTGGCAAATGACTCAACTGTTGTCCAAGAAATCATTCAGGGAATTTGCTAGTGAATCTTGTGTCTTGTTCAGTTGTTGCCCTAACAATACCCAAAAGCCACTGAGTGTATACTAGTGGGCAGGCAAAGCCGTAAGCTGTTTTTGATGTTGTGGGATCTAATTGGAATCTCTCTGTCTTTTAACACTCATCAAGGTGTTGATGATGTTTCTGGGGATTGTCACCCACCCTTGCTGGCAAATACAGGTTTCCTGCCTAATGTTCACCCAGATATTACATGGTCTGAGGAAAGGGCGGAAGAGTTAAAGGGATAATCCCCATGTTCGAGGATAGTACAACCCTGATTTCTGACCACTTTTACTCCAGGGCACACCCACTACCCTTCCACCTATGATCAAAGTGGTAGGAGCACTTATGTCAGTGTGTGGGTGTTTCCTCCTCCATGCACGTTTTATAGCAGGGGAAGTCAATTTGTCTCTATAACAAACATGAAGCACCAGGTGAGAGAGACGGGATGGCAGGGGGTAACATTTTACCACACCAAGGGTATTATGGACCACTGGTTTTCCCTAACTTCAGCAAAGACCACAGTGGTAGCAGTGCTTGTGGCGTGGTCACGGATTTCTTACCCCATTTGTTTGATAGTGGGAGATACCACTGGTAATTGCAGAAAGTAGGCAGGGAATCATCTATTTTCTTCTATTTTCCTTTGAAAGTAGCCAGGGGAAATCCCCAGTCCCTGTCTCTTAATGACAGCCCGCTTTGCCTCTCCAAGGGAAAGTGATTACTGGGCAAAAGAGAGAAAAGTGTCAAAGAAAGCAACAATTAGCCACACCAAAGGCACTCCTAACAACACTGGCTTTCTGCATCAAATTGTTTATGAATGACTGCATAACCCATGTGATACTGGTTCTTTTGTAACGTAGGGGTAAAGGGAAGTGAAATCATCAAAGATAAACGGAATAAATTCCTCTTCCTCTTCTGCCTCACAGATTGACTGAGTAACATTTGTGTACTACCATAAAAGGCATCCCTGCATTGAAGCGTATGCACTGTTTAGAGTTGGTGATGCCCTTGGACCCTAGGGATGCCTTTTTAAGGGATGCAAAAATGTTACTCAGTTGGTGTGCAAGGTAGAAAAGAAGATTCTTAACAAGGATTTGAATTCCCTCTCACCCTAGGACTACAAGAAAACATGCCTTCCTGTGGGTTATCCAATGATTCACATACAATTTGATGTAAGAGAAAATAAGGAAAATACAAAGTGGTCCACAATGTTACCCCCTGCCATCCCTTGGTCTCTCTTACCCAGACCTCCATGCTCGTTAAAGAGACAAATTGACTACCCCTTACTTTGAAATGTACATGGAGGAAGAAAAACCCAAATGCTGGCACAGGTGTTCCTTCCACTGTGACCATGGGTCGAAAGGGTAGTAAGTGTGCCCTGGAGTAAAAGTGGCCCTAAATCAGGGTTGTATAATCCTCATTTAGTACAAACATGGGGACTTTCCCTTCTACCCTACCGCCCCTTTCTCAGAACATGTAAAACCTGGGTGAAAATCAAGCAGGAGACCTGCAATTGCCATGGAGGGTGGTTGACACTCCCCAGAAAAAACAACAATACCTTGATGAGTATAGAGGGATTCCAATGAGATTCCAAAACATCCATAACAACCCAGGGCTTTGCTTGCTCACTAGCACATGCTTAGTGACTTTGGGGTAAAGTTAGGGCAACAATAGAGCAAGAGACAAGTTTCACCTGCAAACTCCCCTAACAGTTCTTCAACGATTTCTTGGACAACAGTCGCATCATTCACCACTTCCAACAAGCCAGGAACAAAATGATGGTTGCTAACACTCATAGGGCAGATGTTGGCTGCATCTAGAACAACGCAAGTATCTCTGTGGTAGCCTTTTCGACTTGTTGGTCTAATCTTGAGTTGCACCATGGCATCCTTGATTACCTGGTTACCACATTCTTCCCTTTGACAGACTCAGTTGTCTGCCTGGCAAAACTGTACAAACAACACCTTCCCATGGACTGTTTTCAAGGGGGCTAAATGGATGAGTAAAAGAGGAACAAAATCACGAACTTTGTTGCAGCTGGATGAAAATTCCCTCTCCTCACACCAAGGCTGATCAGGTCTGGTGATACGTCTGTGGCTTCAGTCTCAACATCCAATGAAGGAACTATGTGATCCTGCCAAGAATCCCTGCAAATGCATGGTCAAAAGCCCTCACAAGATCAATTACAATCTCAAGATGAAGATGAATCACAGTGTCCCTGAAGAAAACAAAATATATAGAGTTGAGTCTATGAAAAGCAGGTTGTGGATTTCCACAGCATACATACTGTCTACAGCCATAAACCCATGCCTAGCATAGTAGATGTCTGGACTAACGCTGAACTACTCTGAATGTTTGACAGCATACAATACATCACCCAGATGCTGTGTTGTTACCAAAGCTCAGCTCACTTCCTTCATCTAAGTCATTTCAAGTTCCAACATGCTTGCTATTTCCTTTCATCATACGGTTAATTCGGTAGGGTGAAAATCTTACTTAATCAATTCACAAATGGACTTCCACACGGTTCACAGCAGCACTTTTTTTTCTTTGTGTTTAACACCAAACAAATTTGCCTTCACACATGTCCCTTGTCTGTACTTTCCTCATGATGGTTCCTGGACATTATAAAGGGCAAGTCATTCAAATACTACAATTACCCTGCAAACAAAACAGATCAAGAGAAGGAACACCGACAGCAGATGCTTAGAGAAAATGCCACCAATACAAATGGCGACAAAAGCTGTGAGGGGAGGTAAGCTTGAAGTTTATAGTGAAAGTTATCTTTTTCGAGGCAACGATAGGCAGCAAGAATTACACTATCTGTAAAATGCACGTGAGGAATATCTTTCAAACAGACTGAGGACAGCTGATAAGCCTTTACACCATCAGCAACAATGGGTTTTTTACAGTAAGCTTTATTTTCCAATGAACAGTTTACTTTAATGCGTGACTGTCATGTAGGGAAACATTACTGGACCAAATTTGTTTACAATTTTCATAGTATTTATTGTTCTGCTTTCCCTATGTCTTTGATAATAACCATTACCTTCGGCAGTTGCCTAATGATTGCCTCACAAGAGATATGCAACTGAGTAGCAATAAATGTTCAAGATTTAATCTGGTTCCATCAGTCTACTTGTATGTAGCAGCCTTATATATTCTTGGTTTTCACTCACGTGACCTCTATCATGACGACGGTTGCTATCCGCCATGTTGGAGCCCATCCAAATGTAAACAAATGCCCTTCGATGTGAGATCGTAGTCGAATGTTGAGATGGTTCTCTGCGTTATTCCTGGCTGTGGGAATAGAACTGGTCGAGATCAAGGAGTGGGATTTTATCGTATACCAGCAGTCGTTACTACTAAAGGAGAATTTGAGGAAAAGCTAACTGCAGAGAGGAGAAAAGAGTGGATCAAAGCGATTAGTCGCGGCGATACGGAGGAAAAGCAAGTTCTTGAAAGCGAACGTGTGTGTGGCAAACATTTTGTCAGTGGAAAGCCAGCTCCTTATTGGAATAGGTACCATGACGATTGGATACCGACTCTAAATCTCGGAAAGAAGAAATATGGCCCTGAAGTCGATGTTAAAGCCAATGCACAGAGGACCGAGAGGGCAAAGAAGCGAGAACAACTTGCAATCGCCCGCCAAGAACGCGAAGTGGCAGACAAGCGGCAAAAGCTTAATGAAAGCAGCCTTCCTGTTGCTGAGATTGACTTTGGCGAGCCAAGCACTTCGACCAAGGAAATTCAAAATGAAGGGACCGAAGGATCTAGCGATGAAACATTTTCTGTGACTCAAACCGAAGAGCTTTGCGAAGGAGAAGAAATCGCACCGGAAGTAGGTGTAAAGGACGCCGAATGCCAAATTAACCCTGACACAAAGGAGGGATGGTGCCAAACCGTGGAGTTTGAGTATATGTTTCAGAAAAACAAGTACCAAGCACCAGGTAAAGATTTCTTTGATTCGGATGATAAAGTCCGTTTTTACACTGGCCTCCCTTCAATGGAAGTGCTGATGGTTGTCTTCGATCATGTGTCCCCATATGTAACTCGACAAACACAGTCGCTGGATCGATTTCAAGAGTTTATGATTGTACTCATGAAACTAAGATTAAATGCACCGCTACAGGATCTTGCCTACCGATTTTCTGTGTCAGTGTCCACCATTTCAAGAGTATTTTATCATTGGATTGTGGTGATGGATTCGAGATTATTTCGCTTTGTTTACTGGCCAAACAGAGACCAACTTTGGAAGACCACGCCCCAGTGCTTTCAGTATGCATTTGGGAAGAAAACCACCGTGATCATTGATTGCTTTGAGGTATTCATTGAAAAGCCTTCCAACTTGCTGGCCAGGGCACAGACTTTCTCAAGTTACAAACATCACAATACCATCAAGGTTCTAGTAGGGATAACTCCACAGGGAACTATCTCTTTTGTTTCAGAAGGCTGGGGAGGTCGTGTCTCAGATAAGTTTTTAACTGAGAACTGTGGTTTTCTGGAAAAGCTTATCCCAGGGGACATGGTTATGGCAGATAGAGGATTCACCATCACTGAATCTGTTGGATTTAGGCAAGCAAAGCTTGTAATCCCAGCTTTCACAAGGGGAAAGGCTCAGCTAGACCCAGTGGATGTAGAGGAGACAAGAGGCATAGCCAACGTTAGAATCCACGTGGAACGTGTTATTGGACTACTAAGACGAAAGTATACCATTTTGGAAGGAACTCTGCCAACTGACTTTCTGATTTGTAATCATGAAAACTCTGACCGTCATATTCCATTAGTGGATCACATGATAAGAGTTTGTGCTGCTCTTGTTAACTTTTGTCCTCCAATTGTTCCATTTGATTGAATTTGATGTCATATACATGTATTTTTGTATCTGTCCTAGAATGTATTCACAATCACCTCCCCCCTCCAATGGAAGCTTGGTTTAATTTGTGGCCCAACCCATTGGATGATATGGCCACATATTAAAATTAATCCAGTCCCCTTCCATGGTTGAAGCACTGATATTTTCTTTGATGGGGAAATTGCTACTGATATAATAATGATGTGGAAACCCAGCTCGTTGTAAAGGTAACAGGGATTTTTTCTACCTAAGGATGTGTCTTATGTCTGTTTTGTGTTTATTGTGGAGCAAGATGTTGTTATCCTGCTTTGAACGGGGCAGGTTAAGATTGCAGATTTAATGAACTGTGAACTAACATGAATACAGCTATGCTGTTTTCAGAGACAAGAACATCATTTTAGGGGTGGATCATTTTTTATCTATAAAATTCAAATCTAACTCAAATCTATTTAAATCTTAGCCTTGTGTGAGTGCTTGAATATTTAACTTATTTCAAGCTTTGCCATGTGGAAAGATCACTTTATTTCTATATAACAACATTCATACTTGGCTACTGGGTTTCTTGGAAAAAAACAACAAAAGGAATCAATGTTGAGGTTAAGCAATGAGTACTACATTCCTATTGTTTTATTCCTCTTAGCACCTCTTTCTGTCTACCTAATTGTTTCACAAGACATAATTTGTTAAAGTTTCCTGTAAAAATATTGCAGGGCCAGCACCCAAACAGGTTTTGTTACTAGGTGCATACATATGAAATGGAAAACAGTAATTACAATAACATACAAGTGTTCATACTATTCATTTATTTTAAGCAATATAGTGCTTCTTGTTGGACCATAGTGATACTGTTTACTAGCCCCTTCATTTGTGTTGTCCTCTTTCATCAAAAGACACAAGCTTTTTTTTTTTGTAATTAAAGATTGCCTTAGACTGCTGCTCCCAAGCCACCCTCCTCTAAGGCTGTCGGAAAGTTTGATCAACACTAGTCCAATCAAAGAAAAACTATGCTTACACTGTCGACCAAGCCAATGAGTACAAGTAATTTAATCTAGTTATTAGAAATATGCATCTAAATTGATATTGATCGCTCATTTATTGCGACAGTGCTGTTTTGTATGGTCAATGCTCTTCAATAAAATGAATTGAGCGCTCTATGAAAGATATGTGTATATATAAATACTCGTATTCTGGGTAGAATGTATTTTGCAGAGCGCTCAATTCATTCAATTGAGGAGCATTGACCATACGAAACAGCACTGTCTTAATAAACGATCGATGATTAATCCTGAAGCCTGAAGTCCTGTGAAGTTATTAATATATATCCATCTTGTCTAGCGATGTGGTTTACACATCTGATTTTGACGGCTTTACTCTTTGTCATGTTTAAGTGTTACTCGAGACAATAAAATGTTATTTTGTAAAGCAAATCTACATGTCTGATACAGTTTTCTGTTTTTTTTTCTCTTTGAACTGTCTGAAAAGTATCTGAGAGCTCCTGCATTTAAAATGAAGGAAACAAGCTCATTCTTCCATTTCTAAAACATGCAGTTAAATGAGGCCTCATTTTCAACATATCAAAATTTACAAATGTTGGATCTTCTCCAAATACTAGGCAGGTAGAAAATGCAATTGCAAAAACCCCACAGTCACTGCCATTTCTTTGTTGCTGCACTGGCATAGGATTGAGAGCTTCCAATCTCCCACCTAGCAAATCATTTGCCTGTTCCTCTATTTCCTGGCTTAAAACAGAGTCATAAAGGCTGTCATAGAGGTTAACATGTCCTGGCAGACATCCAACTGAGCTGATACACACCCAGTGGCTGTTACCAGTATCTAGAATTTGCACAAATTCACTACTGACAACGTCAAAATTTCTAACTCGACCAAGTGTAGGTCGCTGAAAGCCATCTCTTGCTGCATTCTCAAGCTGTAGTAAAACTTGAGCTTGCTGAATAATGTCACAGTCTAGCCATCCAGTAGGACTAGTAATTAAATCAAAATGGGAGTCTGTCATCTTTGCAAAGGCAGCAGTCTTATCAGTTTCACCCTCACAAACTTTGGTGATAACAACGTCAATGTCCTCATCACTACTATCGGAACCGGAGGAAGAAGAACAAGTGGTAGCTGGAACAGGAATAGCTTTTTTGCATGCAGAACATTTCCAAGTTGTTCTGTGGTTGTTGGGCATTCTTTTCAAATTTAAACAAGGCAGGTGATATCCTTTGCTCTCGCGTATGGTACTTCGTTCACATACGTCGGTAAAACCCACGTGCATTTCACTTGAGTACAGGCGAGCTTTCCTTGGATCCGTGTTATGGCTTCGATGTAAAACAGAGCACTCGCTACATGGGAGCAGGTTTCACCTAGGCCTGCTTTGCAGTCTAAACAATGCGCCGAGATAATGGTTCCATCTTTCTCTGTGATGATCCAAATATTCACTAGAGGATCTCTCATGCTCTGGGAATGCCGCACTTTAGCCACTACAACATACTTGTCCACGATTTCCTTTCCATTAACTGACGCGACAAAGCCAGAAACCATTTGATTATATGCCTGAAGACTTTTGAAAGCCTTAAATTGCTTATTCGTGTAATGGCTTGTCTCTAGAACTAAGTACGAGAGCAAGTCGGAGACTTCTATAGGAGGCAAGCATTCTGGACTCAACTGCTCGCTCGGTAAAGCCGCCGGATCTACTTCCACCACAGAAATCTTCTTCAAATATCGTTCTTTTATGTGGTTTTCTAGGCCCTTGGCATAGCTTGAAAGCACCGGTATCTTTTGCAGAATATCCTCTGGAGATTCTGGATTCTCGCCTTTGAAATTATCCATTAAAAGTTAAATTAATTGCACGTGAACGCTTCGTCCTAAATAGAAATGGCTTACATTTGCATAAAATATGAGCTCTTACATGGGCTCCAACATGGCGGGTGCCTAATTTGCATAAATGTGTGACGTCAGCTGAAAACCACCAATACATCAAATATAACAAAAATTTATTATGCTTCCAAGCCTCAAGGTTTAAATTTGAGTTTGGGAGCACTTGTGCTACCAGATGTAAATGATTAGGCGCACTGCCGAAATTTTAGGAGCACAGCTTATAATGTTGGAAGCATCTATTTCAAAAGAAAAAGTAAAAAGCTTAACAGTGCCACGTTTATTTGTCATCTTCAGTTTGTTACTTTTACTTCAGTCCTGTGATTGATAAAACACACCCGATTTGCTACGTAGTAATACCGTTGTGATTTTAATACTAATTTCTCTTTTTGACAGTACAGTTGTGACTAAAGAAAACTTACACTTGAAAAACAATTCAAACTGACAACAATGAGTGTGTCGAAAGGAGAATGAAAATTAATCTTTAATGAATTTGTTAAATGCGCAATGATTTACATGTAACTGGAATACGACTTAAAAAACTTTCTTACCTGGAAAAAAAGGCTCTTAATCCACACTGTAAGTGTTTTGATTGACATTAAAACTGAACGTTCGACAAGATCGTCCATTGCACAAAAAGTATGTGTTTTGTTGGTAGCATATATTTGCATGTCAGCGGTGTTTATTACAAAACAGAAGAGTCTGAGATGGAGTAAAACATCGAAACGAAAAAGAACATTCAAGTTCATAGAATCCATTGGAAGAAAAGACCAATTAAACATACACCGTCTTTCTAGTTCGAGTTCATATGTATACTCGGAAGTCAGTCAGTTGCACTGTGCTTTGGGTTTTAGAGTGCACAGGTGCGATTACACATGAATTTTTAGGTGCACAACCAAAAATCCAGTGGCATATGCGACCGGTTAGTTGCTGACTTTGAGCCCTGCGCTGGCCTTCTGTTTCAATCCTATTATTCACAAAGAACATCAGCATTTCGGATCTCCTCTGAATATTAATGTGTGACATGGTTGCTATGCCAAGGAAATTAATTCTTTTCCCTGTAAGGGACAAATAAACAAGTCAGGAAAATTTAACTCTTTCAAAGAAATGAGAGGAAGGTGACATATTCACAGAAGTTAAACATGTTCCATTGGTAGAATATTGTTTCAAGAAATTAAAAGAGAAGATCAATTCATTCTGCACTTTACATTCAGGATAAATTCATGTAATAAATAGGTGGAGAGGATGGCTGTGGTGAAAGTTTGGAAGCCATTATCCGGGCAAATTGTCAATTCATTTGGTCAGGGAAAGTGTACATTCGACTGTCTGGGAATTTCAAAACTATGGCTCTGGCAACCATGTCTGAAGCTTATGCATGTTGAGAATAACTGAAAAACTGATCATCTTTAACATGACTAGTATGTGGACATTTCATACAAATTCCCCCTTGCATGGGTGTTTGCATGCACACAAATAACTATGAACACTTGCATAAATGATTTGGTACTTTTTACAGTGAAAGCCAGAATATTCAATAATCATAAGTCATGATACTTTCGAAATTCTCATGAACTGCATTGCTACACGAAATTTCCATTCCTGTGATTGGCAAAAAGAAAAACTGCCGCAGTGACGTTTTTGGAAGTCCATCTGTAAATTAATTAAGCAAAATTTCAGCCCTGCTGAATTAACCTGATGATCAAAAGAAATAACAAGCATGTTGAAACTTGGAATACTGAGCTTTTAGCAGTGCTCTCCCTAAATTTTACTTCAGCAGGTAAGTGACCATTCATAGCCAGCATCTGGGTGAAGTGCTGTATGCTGTCAAACATTCAGAGTACTTCAGCATTAGTCCAGACATGCACTATGCTGGGCATGGGTTTATAGCTGTAGGCTTGTGTATGTATACTGTGAGAATCCACAACCTGCTTGACAACAACCCATGGGAAAATATTTTCGTGGTGGTTTGGCTTAGCTGACAACTAAGACAACTGACCCAAAGTGAAGAATACAGGGGACCAAGGGTCTCGAGGTGCAACTTTAGTTGTACCCAACAAGTACAGTGGTGAAGCTGTAGGCCTTATGTGTGTGTGTTACGGGAATACACAACCTGCATGCCATAGACT